TCACCAACGAGACTCCGCCCAATCTTTGCATGCTTCTGTCAAGATTAAGTCCACCGGCGCATATCCGTCGACGAAGTAGGACAAGTCATGTTGACGGAGGCATTGTGTGTGTTGGTCCTTATCAATTAAAAAAAAAAAAAAAAAACACGGACCCATTCTTGGATGGTGGGCAGGAGAGGAACTGTCTATAAGACTATTCTCCAAAAGGAACTTAAGGGAACAAATTTGTTTAATGACACCACATGTGCTAATCAGCTAATAGCATTGCAGTTTGCAAACACAGCATTAGTTCAAATGCTAGGCATACTCTCCAATATTTTCCCTTTTGTTCAAGTCACTTTTTAAATACTGTGCACCGTATTGCGATTGTATACGCCATGTCCAGTTTCTTGTCATAAGTAGTAGAGAGCTGTCTTCCAAATGGTCAATGCCGAAGAACTGCTCGAAAGATGACGTAGGCCATGGCACACTAAGCGGCAAGACGAACAAAAATTCGGTCATGCCAGACGCCTCACGACCAATCGGTGAGAAATGTTACACTACACAGGCTACGATGTGTCAAGACAACAAATCGGCAACGGAACACTACATTTTTCTGTGACACATCTGTCGGCTCAAAATCGGGTTACAGTTGTGTAGTCAGATGTCAGCATTAAAGTGACTGAGAGTGTCATTGCTGCATTTATATGTTAACCGGTTTGTTGTTGTTTGATAGTCCTGGTCAATAAAGCTTTCTTAAAGGTTTTAATCAGAGATGCAACAGATTCCAATTCTTCATTTTTTGTCAGACACGTCAGGTTTTCATCATCATCATCATCATCATCATCATCATCGTAATAATAATAATAATAATAATAATAATAATAATAATGGTGGCCCAGTAGTCAAGTGATTAGCACGTCGACTTTTGAACGTCAATGGCTCAAAATGATGACCTTTTTGGTCAGACATGAACAAAGATGTTGTACAAAGCAAGTACGAGATGTGAGTTCTAACTATCATTATCCTTGTACAATAGGATGAATGGCAACACCATGGCAGGTGGAGCTCGGCTGTGTTCCCCAGCGCTGTAACCACAGAAAGATTCTGTGCTCGTGAGACGATCCTTGTTGTTGCTTGGAAGCAAGCATTGTTTGTGCGTTCCAGTGCGTGCATGCTTTACTTATTTGATGTTTTGGCTTGCACACTCACAGGAGGCCTTCTTTGTGACCGGAGCTGCAGCCAAACAGCAGGCAGACGGACTCACGGACAGATTTACTTTTCATTAGTGGGAGCAACTTGGTACGCAGAAGCCATAGTGAGCATGGCTTCCTTTATTTCCATGGCCACTTATCCAACAACAGCGTCTATGTGACTGAAAACTTGCACTTGCCTATTTGCAGTGTAATAATAGCCTCTGGAAAATTGGGTCTCTATTGTGGGACAGCGTAAATCACGACGACTTGGTCCACACACTCATCTTGCCGCAGGGAGTCCTGAAAGGGCTGAATTTGAATAGACTGTGGCGGTGCCACTGGGTTGACTGTCATTCCGCAAGACACGAAGAGGAAAAACCGACAGGGATGCCCAGCGGGGCAGCCTAAGGGACAGACTGACAGACAGAAATGACGTCCAGTATCTAAACGGGGAATTTTAACGTTTACCTTCCTTTACATTTACCTCTGTCAAAGAAGAAATGATTTTGGACGTTTCTTTTTGTGCAATTTCACAGGCTGTTGTAAAACCTACTTTCAAACAAGGCTCTTTGAGCTCTTGAGTGCCATTAAAGTCAATCAAAGAATAACGAATTAGATTATGTTCACAGCAGGACTGCTTGAAAATCCTTTGTTTTGCAATCCTTGAAAAATGGCAAGGGCATGTTTTTTTTTCCCTCAAGGTTACATATGAAAGGGTTTCCGACCTCTTCTAATGACATTATTGCATATTGTGCTCAATTTTAATAAAGGCTCCTTCTTTTCTTCTTGGTACATGCTATAAGGCAGGGGTCACTAACTTGGTGCCCACGTGCACCAGGGAGCACCCATTATGAGTAGCCCGTGGGCCTTTTCTAAATACAGCTCACCTGTGAAGTTATTCTTTGAAAATGATAATATTTTCAAAGATTGAAATGAAAAGAAAATCGATTATAGAACCTGATGTGTTCGGGAGGAAAAAACAGGAATCAATGCACTATTTTAACTTAGAAATATTCACTTGCATATCTGATTTAAAAAAAAAGAAAAGGTAAAGAGAAGAAAAATATGTTGACCACTGTAATTGTGTGAAATCATAGGCATGATCAATGTCTTAACATCCATCCATCCATGCATTTTCGATCCTGCTTATCCTCACGAGGGTTGCGGGCGTGCTGGAGCCTATCCCAGCAGTCTTTGGGTAGTAGGCGGGCTGCACCCTGAACTGGTTGCCAGCCAATCGCAGGGCACACAGACACAAACAACCATTCGAGCTCACACTCACACCTAGGGATAATTTAAAGTGCTCCATTAACCTGCCATGCTGGTAGCTTTTGCATGAATCATTCCCCAAACAGTTATTTTGCTTTTGAAACGGTCGGTGACCCCTGTTATCAGGGATGGGCCAGGAATGTATATTTATTAGGAATGTGTATATATTAGGTTATGTTTTCGCAGTGAATCCTCTACATTTCGACTCCCTAAATTTGATCCACATTTTAAGGGAAAAATATGAATGCCATCATGTAAGACAGGTAGGTTTTAAATGTGTTTTCATTTTTTGTGATACTACCTCAGCAACACAGGATGAACATATTGCACCGTGGCAATAACGGCGATAGTGGTATACCGCTCAGTACAATATTGGCGGATCTCTTATGCAAGTTTGCCACAGAAGAAACCAATGCAGTTGAGATAGCGATAGGAGGTAAGGGATATTTCTATTTATCATTTGGAAGACAGTGAACATTATAGACCATAGATGTGGCTATTGTGCTGTGTTGTTATAAATCACAGGTATCAAACTCTGGTCCTCGAGGGCTAATATTCAGCATGTTTTAGATGTCTACCTCCTCCAACACACCTGATTCAAAAGATCAGTTCATCAGCAAGCTTTGCAGGAGCCTGATAACAATCCTAATCATTTAAATCAGGTGTATTGGAGGAAGGAATGATGGAAAACATGCAAGATTGTGGCCCTCGAGGACCGGAGCTTGAATCCTGTGTGGTAAATGTATTGTATACCAACACATCCAGTGTGTGTGCTTTCAGAGATTGCTCTTATTGTTCCAATGAAAAAAGACTGAATCCAAAGTACATGTCCGGGAATTCGTAACATGGGGGAGGACAGCTCAAAGGTAGTGGGAAGGAGAGAATTATCCCCATATAGACAGACGGCCAACTGAGGCAGCATAGTAATGCACAGGCTGAGCGATGCAGGTGCTGAGCGGCCAGACAAGACGGCAGCTCTGCACAATGAATGAGAATGTGCATGAGAGGTGAATTGCCGAGGTGTGAGCGAGTGGGAGTTGTCTGTGTGTTCTTATTCTACGTGCCCTTTAACATGAAAACAAACATTCCATTTCCATCAGTGACATACGCGGTGCATTCAGCAGAAGGAGAATGCTATTACCCGCAGTAAAAAGTACGCTGGATCAAAAGGCGCGGCAGCTTGTGAGGAATTTTTGGTTTGTGTCATGTTCAAATCCATCTTTCGGTGAATGGTGCCCCTTTTCAAGAGGCAATACTTTGGGGGAGAATAACAAAGAAACAGGGGAGGCCCTGCACATTGCTTCCTTCCGTCTTCCTGTCTTGCGCTGACACCTCAAAAAGAAATATTTTCCAGAACAATGAAAATCATCTCGATCATGTTAAAGGATTGATGGCCAACACAGGCATTAGCTGCAACGCTGCGGCAGAGATTCCACTGAGAGGGTATTGTGCTTTCTACGGTGCTGTTCTGTAAATAGCATTAGTTGCGCTCGGTAAAGAATAGACATGTCACAGTTTCAGTCGGGCTAGTCATGCGTAGCTTAGAGACCAAGCCAGTGTGAACACGAGCGCTGGGACGAGCCAGACAAACAGATCGACGCTTGTCAGCGTGTTCCATGCGACTGCAGTTAAACAGTCACATATGCATGTGGCCTTCCTTGAAGCGACGTAAAGCTGAAAGTAACTTTCCATCAGTGGGATAGGAAAATAAGTCCACCTCCGGAAGCGTCTCTTGCCTTCGTTCCCTCTTTAAGATCCAACCAGAGTCAACAATTTGAAAATTCCGGCATTGTCAAGGAACAAACTATGGCGTCTTCCTACTCGGTGAGCTCACTTCTCAAAAGCCTCCTTTTCATCAAATGTGAACACAACACACTGTATAAAAAATCCAATTTCTGACAGTGCCTTATCTCGGTACTCAACATCATGCTTGCATCACCTGCCTTGGAGTGGCTCACCATGGCAAAGGCCGGACAATATCAAGGGTTTGGTTAAGACTCCGAGACTGAAGCCATTTCTGTTGCAGCACAAGAATCATCTCTCATTCTAATCTCACCAAGAGATCCAGCCTGAGCCTGGAATATCCAAAGATAAATATGGAACGTGAACAATGCGATTGCTGAGCAGTAGCATTCCATTTTCAACACCACTCGCCTCTAATCCTTTCCAGCGGTTCTCATGAACTGCCTCTTCTCATCTAAATCTGCTGTAGGACCTGCTGAGTAGACTGATATGACACCGCCGCCTCGCTTCCTCTTGGCCATTTTTGCCACAATTGGATGGCTGACCACACCTCCAGAGGGGTCTCTTACCGCCACCTGTAGCCTTGTAACAACACCTTGTCAACATGGGACATTCATATGAGTTAAGCGGACTATTACCTTGGTTGCCACCTGATCTCATCCGACTCTCGTGCAATAACGCTCTTTAAATTCAGATGCTGATCACATTCATTCGTTTGGAAATACAATAAGGATAAATAAATGAATAAATGATACAAGGGAAAAAACAAGAATTGAAATAACCATGCATTATCATTGTTCACCATGGAAATACCTTCGTCTTCATCACCGTCGTTATCCATTAAATCCTCGCCCTGTTTTTTCGCATGGGAACCTGTTTGGTGAAGCAGGCAGAGACATAGAGAGGAACAGGCAATTTAAAAAAAAAAAAAAAAAAAAACAACAACGCTAAGAAGAGTGTGGATTATGTCATTGAAAATGCCTTCAACGAAAACTCCACAGCAGCTTTGAGATAACAAAGAAACATATTGAAGTGAAGTGAATTGCCACTAAGTACAAAGGAGTATCAGGACCATACTAAAAAGAATAAAGTAATATATGGGAACACGTTTTCAGAGAAACAACATCATTACCTAATCAGAATATAGTCATTTTAGTTTGAAGAACCTCTGTCACTCTAACCAGATTTTAATCATGTAGTAAATAAAATCAAACAAAGTCCTAATCTTGGGATAGTAAAGTTTTCATTTTATAAGAATGAGAATTTGTTTCTTTTCAGAATGGTACTATTACTCCTTCTTAACATGGTATCATGTGTTTTTGGTAAAAATTACACAATACAAAAATAAATTCAGACACAGAAAATACATCATACAATAAGGTTAATTCGAGAAAATGGGGGAAAAAACACATTTTGTAACAGTTGGAGCACATTGAAAACCTAAATAAGTTGAATACAGTTTCAGCAATAAGCTCCTCAATTTGAGTAATTGTAAAAATGAACAGCATTGGATTCTAAATTCGCACCTCCTTAAAATCAGTGCACTTTTGTTCAGACTTCATTGTGCAATTTTTATGAAAAAAGTCTGTGTTTAAATGATACATTGGGGGGTTTGTTCTCTCTTCAGAAATGCACCTCATATCTATTCTTGACACAGAATTCACTGTTAACGAGACTGTGGAGAAGCAAAAATAAAAGCCAGCAGACAACGGGCTAACTGGCTAACGACATGCTAATTGACATGAACATGCTCAAGAGATCAGGCTTTAAACTACAAGGCTAAATCAAGAGCAAGGATTTCAGCTTCCCAGGAGGCGGCTACATTTGAATAAAACACGAGATTGCGGGTATCGCGTATACGTGCTAATGTGAGCAACTTGTCTCTGCGCCCTGCACGGTAGGTAATGTGATGTTGTCCTTGTGCTGAATGTAAGTGCAATCCCTCCAGGGCACGTAAACATGCAATGTTAAGGTCGATTTTCTTGCTTTCCTGTACAGAAATGTTCTCAGCTGTACACTTAATTTGGCATTCATATCCTTTTGACTGCAAACACATCCTGTGGCCTTCGGGTAAAATACAGTAGATAGTCATTGATATTATCAACACCGTTGCTTTCATGATGTAGAATTTTACTTTATCGAGTATGAATACTGTCCTTAAAAGAAAACATGAATGTATATATATCTAGCCTCCGGCCTTCCTGTGTGGAGTTTGCATGTTCTCCCTGTTCTCCGGAGACTCGGTTTCTTCTCACATTCCAACAACACGCATGGCAGGTCAATAGAACACTCAAAATTGTCCCTCGGTGTGAGTGTGATCGTGGATGGTTGTTCGTCTCTGCCTACTGCCTGAAGACAGCTGGGATAGGCTTCAGCATGCTCTGCGACCCTTGTGAGGATAAAGCGGTGACGAAAATGGATGAATTCATGTTTCATTAGTTACAATGTAAAAGTTCAAATATAGCAAAAAGAGTAAAATGATCACAATGCTAGCTTCAGACAAAGTATTACTGCAGCAAGAGCAACAATATGGTCACTACAGAAACTTTACAGTCACTACTGAAAAGAAACAACAATGTTTTATTCATTCATTCATTCATTTTCCGAATTGCTTTATCCTCACTAGGGTCGCGGGGGGTGCTGGAGCCTAGCCCAGCTGTCTTCGGGCAGTAGGCGGGGGACACCCTGAATCGGTTGCCAGCCAATCGCAGGGCACACAGAGACGAACAACCATCCACGCCCACACTCACACCTAGGGACAATTTAGAGTGTTCAATCAGCCTGCCATGCATGTTTTTGGAATGTGGGAGGAAACCAGAGTACCCAGAGAAAACCCACGCAGGCCCAGGGATAACATGAAAACTCCACACAAGGAGGCCGGAGCTGGAATTGAACCGGGTATCTCTGCAATGTGAAGTTGACGTGCTAACCACTGGACCACCGGGCCACCACCTATGTTTTCACAAAAAAAAAAAAAAAAAAAAAAAAAGGATTGAATTATCAACCAACAATTTATGAGAATGATTTGTTTAAGGCAGTGGTTCTTAACCTTGTTAGAAGTACCGAACCCAACCAGTTCATATGCACATTCACCGAACCCTTCATGAGTGAAAAATAAAAATATGATATTTTTTACAAATCCAAGACATAAAAAAATAAATTTATTAAAAACTGAAAAAGTATACACAATTAATTGTAGTATGAAGTACATATTTTTTAATTGTGCACAAAATGAACCAGCCAGTGATGGCCAAGCGGGCATATCATAACTAACTGACATGTTGAGTTGGGTGTGTCTTAACGTCCATGGCAGAGGCTCTGTCGAACCCCTGAGACTGATTCACCGAACCCATAGGGTTCGATCGAACCCAGGTTAAGAACCACTGGTTTAAGGTATTTTTGCTTTAAGCAGTGATGACCTATGGACCCAATTTGATAAACTTTCTATGTTTTACAATGAAAAATAGCATTTACTTTTTGATACATTTCGGACAAATCAATATGAAATTCGGTTCAAGATTCATTTGGACTGATTTTGATGCCAAAATATATGTGTACATTTCTAAAAAATACTTTTTCCAGTGGGGAACAGAAAAAAAATATAAATCGATTCAAAGAACTCTTTTTATTCTACTGTAATTCTGTGTGATGGTAGTGACAAATTTTAGGACGGACAAGATATTTGGGAAAAAGCTTGAAAATATAACTTGAAAACTGACTGTACTTTTACGATGTAATTGTCCCTTCGATATGGTACAACATCAATGTGGTAAATATTTTTCTACAATAACGTCCAAATGTCACACAATTTCCAACTCCGAATTTGAACCAGTTCTGTAGAATGGCCCATATAAAGAAAACTATCTCATAAGAGTCCACTACAAGAACTGATATCCAGCCATTTCCTGTGATTTTCTTGATAATGGCCACAATCACTCAAGTTCTTAAATCAATACCTGTAGCTACAGTATGACATGTCCTGCCAAAAACAGTGCTTTAGGCATTCCATATTTTCTCTTCTGTCTGTGAGTCACATGATACACCTTTATGGCACTAGGCATTGAAATCATGAAGAAATTGAAGAAAAAAGGTAATCTAATATTTTTTTCCATGACTGTTTATATACTAGGTCTGCATACCACTCCAACAGTATCCAGTGGCTGGATGAGTCAAACGACTCCTGAATTTACTTAAATAGTGCACCTCTGGTGGTCAGAAGGAAAAATATATTCGGTTCATTAAGAAAAACTGCATCGAAATGTATTTTTGGTGACACTGGCTGTATTAAAGCCAGCTTGTGACACCTCGCGGTACCTATTTGTTGAGATGCCATGACAACTAATCGACGCAGCCATACTTGCCTGCAGGAAGTGGAGCTGTGACATAGTGCCACTGAAAGCCGTCTTGACTGTGCCATCTCCCCAATTCAAGGCGGGATTTTCTTGGTCAGATACTGACAAATCTGAGTCATTCTCATTTTCCAGAATCAGAGACTGGTGGTTGCAAGGGGCGGCCCGGTCAACGACGTGACGTCACATCCGTTCCTAACATGATGCCGTGCATTAAAATTAACCAGAGGCATTATTTAAGTCCAAGACTAGACACAAAAATAGAAACACCAGATATTTATCAAACTTTACAAAATTGCTCTGTTTCTCCATCATTACATTGAAATGGGCAGCCAGAGGTACACTCCAGGGAAACTATGGCCCAAAAGTGAGCAAGACTTAATAATACCAGCAAAACTAATAAAGGGACGTCAACAAAAGTACTGCAGGCTCAAAGGAAAGGTTTTTCTTTTTTCCAAAAGCATTCTGAATTATTTAACAATGACAAGTAAAGGCAAACCATAATAGCAACAAGCAACTGTTAAATAACCAACATTTTCAACCTATGTGACCATTGCTAGTTATTTCATAATGGGAACTGCAGAGTCATGAATATTTAAGTGAGTGCGAAGTGTAAGCGAATGGAGACCTTTGTATTGCTCCGTGTGCCAAACTTGGGGATGTTGGTGAACTCAAGCTGACACGCTGCATGAGCTGATGTACAGCATGTGCTTTAAAATGCTAACAATGTTGTGAATATGTGTCTACGGATGTGTATATGGAGTGTGGGGAGGGGTTGGTAAAGGTGAATGGTCACAGGGTATTACGCTATTACGAATGTACGAAGAAGAGCAGTTCATTACAATAATAAAAAACCCGAGGGCTGATTTTACGGCTCCAGAAACTGGACAAACAATTTTCACATCACTGTTGGAGACAGTAAAGCCTTTGTTTTTTGGGGATTTGACAGGTGCTGTAATTCATGGTCTCCTTTTGAATTCATTACGTATGTATTTATTTATTTATTTATTTTTTATTTTAGATCTTGCATCTTGGGAAGCCGCGAAAATCCATCCATTTTCTGTTCCGCTTATCCTCACAAGGGTCGCGGCGGGTGCTGGAGCCTAGCCCAGCTGTCTTCGGGCACTAGGCGGGGGACACCCTGAACTGGTTGCCAGGCAATCGCAGGGCACACATAGACCAACAACCATTCGTGCGAACACTCACACCGAGGGACAATTTAGAGTGTTCCATTTTTCTGCCATGCATGTTTTTGGAATGTGGGAGGAAATCTGAGTACCCGGAGAAAATCCATGCAGGCATGGGGAAATCATGCACACTCCACACAGGAAGGCAAGAGCCGGAATCGAACCCCGCACCTCTGCACTGTGTGCCTAACTCGTTCACCACCAGGCCGCCCACCTGGGAAACTAACATGCTAAAAAAATGCTTTCAGTCTTTTTTTATGGCCCATGACTGTTCTTCTGGATTTCTCTGGTGTTGACACGGGGTGAGTAACTCTGTCACTAGAAATCATGGTGTGGA